GAGTTCTCCCTCGCGCTTTCCACCACGCTGCACAATTTCCATGCAGTTGACCAAACAGTCGCTGTCGCTGTGATAATGATAATGATAATGTCCACAGATTATGTCACGCAACAATTTGAACTTTAAGTTCACATTTTAATGGAATTTCGTTTGATTTACATGCACGGACAGCTGCGGGTCATGAACCGGCATCGTTTTCCACTGCGTAGACTCTTAAAGTGCATAAGTTAAGGATTGTTTTTTTCGTATTTGCTGAGGCTTCTCCTCAGAGTCTGAGTGTGGCATGTTGCGTTAACAACTCGGTCGCACTTTCTGCCAGATAACGAGACTGACATACTCAGCATTGATTAAATGGGCAAGTCTTATCAAAAGAAATGCATCCCAAAAAAAACTGATGAAGTCGTACAAATAAAATTACAGACTAGCCAGAAAGTTGGGAAAGCTGCAGCAAATGCTTTAAAGTAAAAGATCAGCGAGGGAATTCATATAGAACTTGTTTGCAAATAAAGGGGGCCGAACAGATAAAATCTATTTTAAGCCAGTCTTGTTTCGTTGTAGTAAGGTCTTAGCGAAAGAAATAAATAGAAATGAAGTCAAAAATATTGTTATTATATTCTCACAAAGACGCCTGATCCTTCATTGTTCATTGGAAGAATTTTCACATTACAACCTTCCCAAATGACATTCACTTAGTAAAAAGCAGCTTCGTTGACTGCTCGTTTGTTTTTTTGCTAGGACTTTCTCATGACTTCTGTCGCCTGGACTGTGGTCAATTAGGCCGACTCGTAAACGGGACGTGCTACTGTCGCAATAATTGCTGGAGTTTTCGTAGCCGACGGCGTCAACCTTAATGATTCGAGGACCCGTTGCAGGGCAAACGTTGCTCAAGAAGTTTTCCGCCAATTAAAAGGCGACTGTGTTTTTCTTATGGAAAAGTGTGAAATGCGTCAAAGCGCACGTAACTACAGTTTCGAGCTCGGGGAGGTAGCTGCCCGGCTGCCTGCCTGGCTGTAATGTGCGCAGCTGGCTGCTTAATAAATTTGCGGTCTTCCCGCCCCGAAAATGCCATGCGGCAGCCAGAACACGCAGGCGAATTTCCACGGTTACCTGAGACGCTTTTCCAGGTAGTCCGTTTGGGCTCCAGGTAGACGACACAAGACAAAGGACTTGAGCAGCCGGCATTTGGCTTGGGCTCAGCTGCGTCCGGATTTTCCTTGGCCTAGGTCGCATAAAAGTCAAGCGCCGGGCGCAGCGGCAGCTAGAAGCAAAACAGCACGCGATCGTGATAGATCCTAGATCCTTAGCTGCCTAGCAACTAGAAGTACTTAGAAGTACACGCAACAACTGAGGCCAAAGCTTAACCTAGTTAATCCACTTAGTCCAGGTCAGCAGCTGGAGAGGATTGCCATCAACTGCCACGTGAACTAACGCCAGTTTCCTGCTGTTCTTCCATTTCCAGAATTCACACAGAGTTCTCTAAAGTTAGACGCAGCGACTAAACAGACAGCAAAGACTTCACGATGGGCGAGATCGTGGAGAAGGAAACCCCACAGACTGAAGCGACAGCGGTACAGGAGCCGCTGGAGGAGCCCAAGGAGACGGACAAAATGCTGGACACCAAGAAGGACGATGCGAAAGAGAAAACAGCCAGTCCACAGACCTCGAAGCCAGCCTCGCCAAATGCGGGCCAGAAGTCGCCGACGTTGCCGCAGGCAGATCCCGCCGAGAAACCAGCCGGCGGCAATGGCGAGGAGATCATTGATATACCCACGGAGAACGGCAACAAGCCGAACGGTGCTGCCGACGAGAAGAAGGTCAGCAAGGAGGAGCGCGAGGTAAAGCCCAAGAAGATACCCATTGGCGGACTAAAGCTGCCCGGCTACTTCATGAAGAACAAGCCCAAGGCGGAGGGCGACGGTGCCGAGGGCGAGCTGCTCGAAAAGGACAAGGAGCTGGCCGAGGAAAAAGAGGCCAACGGCGATGCCAGCAAGGAGGAGCAGAAGCCACGCACCGGTCTCGGCCAGCGTCTGCGCAGCCTTTTCGTGCGCAAGCCGGCGGCCGACAAGGAGCAGCAAAAGAAGCCGCTGACCAACGGCGATGCGGATGCCAAGTCCGGTAAGTTGTTGAGACAGCACTGCATAAAAACCCGATAGCTAACATTCACGCTTTACCTCTAAATATATAGAAGCCACAGCTGAGGCGGCGCCCGGCGAGGACGCAGATCCGCCGCCAAAACGTGGCCTACTCAATGCCATCAAGCTGCCCATTGCCAACATTATGCCCAAGAAGCGGGGCGGCGATGATGTGGAAATGGGCCTGGGCAAGGCCGGTCTGGCCTCGATGGAGACACTGGATGATTCGCTCAAGGATCAGGACACCGTCGATCGTGCGCCGCTCAAGAGCAACGGCGCCGACGAGCTGAAGAGCGAGCTCAAGTCCGATAAGTTGGCCGCCCAGCAGAAACTGGCCGCCGAGGAGGAGGAACGCGAACGTCCCGTCTCCGTCTGGTGTCGCCTGCGCGGCTACAAGTGCAGCGTCGACGATGCGCTCATCGTCTTCGGCATACTGCTGTTTATGCTGCTGCTGGCCGTGATTGGCTATGTCCTCACCCACGAGACGCTGACCTCGCCGCCTTTGCGCGAGGGCCGCTACATTTCGGCCGTGACCAGCTGCGGCATGGTCGAGGGCGTCAAGGAGGACGGTGCATTCGCCTTCCGTGGCATTCCCTATGCGAAGGCGCCGCTGGAAAATCTGCGCTGGCGTCCGGCGCAGCTGATCTCCAAAATTGACGACTGCTGGAACGGCACATTGCAGACGCACAATGGCAGCGCGGTGTGCATGCAACGCCTGGGCAATGGCACCACAATTGGCGACGAGGACTGCCTCTACCTGGATGTGGTTACTCCACATGTGCGCTATACAAATCCGCTGCCCGTGGTGGTGCTCATCGGTGCCGAGTCTCTGGCGGGCCCTTCGCCGGGCATTCTGCGTCCGTCGGCGCGTTATTCGCGTTCCCATGATGTCATCTTTGTGCGTCCCAACTTCAGGCTGGGCGTCTTCGGTTTCCTGGCACTGGACGCACTCACCAAGGAGTCGCATCCGCGCACTTCGGGCAACTATGCGCTCACCGACATCATTGCCGTGCTCAAGTGGATTCAGCTGAACATTGTGCACTTTGGCGGCGATCCCAAGTCCGTTACACTGCTGGGTCATCGTGCTGGCGCCACGCTTGTCTCGGTGCTGGTCAGCTCCGCCAAGTTGGAGGGCCTGTATACGCGCGCCTGGGCCTCGTCCGCGTCGGCCATTTATCCGGGCAAGCCGCTGCAGGAGTCGGAGCGTTTGAATCAACAGCTGATGGCCACGCTGGAATGCCAGGATGCGGAGTGCTTGCGTGCGGCGTCCAGCGAGAAGTTGTGGGCCGCCACGCCGGATACCTGGTTCCAGTTCCCCGCCACGGTACCCCAAGCCGAGGAGCTGAGCAATGCCAATCGTCACGAGTGGCTGGTGTTGGATGGCGACATACTGTATCAGCATCCGTCCGAATCCTGGAAGCAGGTGCCCACGGCCAGCCAACTGCATCAGCCACGCCTTGTCATGGGCGCCACCGCACACGAGGCGCACACACTAAAACTGCGCGAACTGCACGCCAACTGGACTGCCGAGGAGGTGCGATCGTATCTGCAAAACTCACAGCTGGGCGCGCGCGGGCTAACCGATGAGATCATCCAGCGCTACAATGCCACCAGCTATGCCGCCCTTGTGGCCATCATCACGGACATACGCACCGTCTGCCCGCTGCTAACGAATGCCCGCCTCCAGCCGACCGTGCCCTTCTATGTTGTCACCCAGGGCGAGGGCGACGATCAGCTGGCCACCGTCGATGCCGACGTGCAGGCCATACTGGGCCGCTACGAGCCGCACACCGTGGAGCAGCGACGCTTCGTCTCGGCGATGCAGCAGCTCTTCTACTACTATGTCTCCCATGGCACGGTGCAGTCCTTTGACACGCGTCGCCGTGTCATCATTGTGGGCCAGGATGCGCAGGCACAGGAGGATCACGATCACTGCAATTACTGGATCAGCAAGGATATTGTGCCGCGCTATGCGCGCGTTGATTAAGAACCCGGAATCCCCTTCAACCAGCCCAACTCCTACTCCTACTCCTACTCCTGCTCAGACTATGACAATGTTCGGCGGTTTATTAACTGTCCCAAGTTCGTTTATCCTTGCTATCTCGCCTCCTCCCTCTCCCTACCCATCGAGATTTCCGACTTCATTATGAGTTTAGTTTAGCCTAAGTGAATCTAGTGTTTATATACGAATGTACATTTAGTTCTCGACAATTATTTAAGTTGTAAGTTCTTTTAATATAACGCCTAACTCCACAGCAGCAAATGCATCTAAGTATGTCTCTACTAAACGTAAACATAAACATAAACATACGTACATATATCTATGATAATGTATTCTTTAATCTTAAAAACACACACTCAGACAAACACACAAACACGAATAAAACACAACAAAATATATTTGAACATATACTTGTAAAGTATAGACCAAATTTGGCGTCTTTCAACTATCCAAAAAACACACACACTTTCACAAATTCTATATACTAATTATATATATATATATATATACATATATATACGATTTATAGCTGGAGCGTTTAAACAAAAAACCTTTGACCAACGATCTTTTTTGATACAATTTTACATAGAACTGGGGCGCTATAGACAAGACTCGATATTACAAAACTAAAGAATCAAACAATTTAGATTTAGATTTAGTGAGGCCAGAACAGGAGAACGCAGCAAAAACGCAAAAATCGAAAACAAAAAGAACGAAGTAAATATACGTGTGTTTAACATTTGAGACTGTCCCGTGGGGCTACAATTTACATAGACATTATGTACTATATAGAGTTGAATTGATTTAGTTTGACATTCATTTGGAATCCATGCCAGCCCAATACAAATATGCATCAAAACATTTTCTATAGCTTTAAATGTATATTAATCAAACATTGATCAACTTATGTAAAACTAGAGTCTATGTATAAACATATAGAATGTTTATAAATTGTGTGTTTGATAAAACGCTGAATATTTCCACTAATGTTTTTTATTATAATCATTTTGTTTTTCAAAATATACTCAAATATCAAAATGATTTAAATGTGTAGTTAATCGTACATGTAATTGCCGAAGCTTAAAGACCGCACATTAAATAAAAGAAAAAACTTTAAAACACACAAAATTGATGAAACACTGAAATCAAAAAAGAGATCTTCAAACATAAAGAATTTAACATTATGGTCATGATATGTGTACAGATGATCGAATAATAAAGAAGGATACATTTATATTTCAAGTTTTTCTGTGTGCGTGCGAAGCGAGCATGAGAATGTTTAAATAAAAAGCCACAATGAAACATAACTCTTAAATGTTTTAACTAACAACTAGTTACTAACTAATTATCGGTACACAGTACGCAGCCGAATTGTCACAGTCTTTGCATGGTCAAGAACACATTCGAATCTCAGTTCCTGCTGCTGTTGACCTTGTAGATGCGACATTTGTTGTCCGTCAGGGCGGCCAGGTAGTAGCCAGCCGGCGTGCCCACTGGACAGATGTCGTAGACCACCTCGTTGACGGGTATCGTTTGGACACGTTCCTCGCGCCGCACATCGTACATTATCAGCTGCTTGTTGTCCTGCAAGTAGCCAATGACCAGCGTATTATCTTCCACGCCCATTTGTGTGGGTCGTGTCATATAGGGCGTGGCAGTTGAGCCAAATATTGTGGCCTTAACCTGGAGCACTGGAATGCCATCTATTTTGTCCAACTTGGCGAGTATAAAGCGCGACTGCGTACACTGGGCATTGGAGCGTGCCGAGAAGAGCACCGTGTCCTGCACCACATCATAATGCATGGACAGGAAGGGACCATCCACGTTGAGGCGCGTGGGCAGGGCCGTATCATTGGCATACTCATAGAATTTCACTATGGTCAGCTGGCAGACAAGAAAGCCCCCATTGCTGAACACCTTGCCCGCGGGCACGGCAGCTACGTTTATCACAGGACTAAAGTTTTCTGCAAAGACGCGTAAGCTTTAGAGAATCGTTTCGAGAAGCGGGCACATACTTACCCTCAGATGGAAACTCGCTGAGGATCGTCTCCGGGAAGCGCATGTCGAACACATAGACACCACCGCGCAGGTCGCCCGCATATAGAAAGTGCTCACGCTCATTGCGGTCCACGCCGCAGGACCACAGCGGCTTGTCATTGGCCGTGAACACGCTGCTGCACACCCGGGTGCGTATGTCGAAAGTTTTAATGCGCGTCTCCCGACTGGCCACGGTCAACAGATGCTGGCTGTCGCTGAAGCCAATATCGCGCACCAGCAAGGACGAGGTGTGCAGAAAGTGCAGCGGCTTGAAGCTGGGCGAATCGATGAAGCGCACTCCATAGCCGGGGAACAGAACCTGTGCGCTCTTCTGGGACGCAACCAGCGTGGAGTGCTGAGCCGAGTAGAGCAGTACGCGGCAGCCGGGATCTCGTGTTATCTCAAAGTTCTTTTCCATGTATAGTCGATGGCTGGTCAAGTGGTTGAGGCTCTTCAGTGTGCCCCCGCCACTGCCTATATTGTCGCCAAAGGCGCCGCGACAGCCGCCGCCCGCGCGCACCACCTGGCGCAGCCGCTCGTAATCCAGCTGCAGTTCGTTCAGCTTGCTGACGGTTAGGGAATGTGACATCTTGACTGTTGCCAGTTCGGTGGTCAGCGCCTGGGCGCGGCGACGCTCTGCATCCAGCTCCCTGCGCATGTCGTGCTCCTCGGTGCGATCAATGGCCCGCAGTCGCTTCGCATAAAGGCAGCGTATGTCCCGATTGGCGGCCTTTGTCTTGCACTGCGGGCACACCTTAACCGCCGACTGCCGTTGACTCTCGATGAGCCAGCGTCGTATGCAGGACTCGCCAAACAGATGACCGCAGCGCAGTGATACCAGACGATGTTCTCCACTCATCTCCCACGACTCCAGGCATATGGGACACGTCATGCCGTCGTCCTCTTCGTCGTTCGACGGTGGCTTGGCTACCGGCGTTCCCATTCCAGTGCTGGCCACGTTGGATAGACGCTTGCGTTTCTTTGGTGGTGATGGCGAGTCAAGATTTATTATGTTACTCTGTTGCAGCTGTGCTCTGCGAGACGTTGTGGGTCGCTCAGCAGCTGGTTCCAGCAGAACAACCTCATCTTCTTCATCAGGAAGTGGCGGCTCTGGCTCGCCTGTTGGCTCGGGTTCTGCTTGAGCAGGCTCTGCTTGCTCAGGTTCTGCTGGCTCAGGTTCTGCTTGCTCTGGTTCTGCTGGCTCAGGTTCTGCTTGCGCTGGTTCAGGATTGGCATCTTCAGTATCAGTTTCTTCGACATCAGTTTCATCAGGATCTGCTGGCTCAGGTTCTGCCGGCTCAGTATCACTTTCTTCAGGATCAGTTTCAAAATCTCCGTGCTCTTCTGCATACTCAGAATCGGTCTCCTCATCCGAAATCATTAAATCCTGATACTCTTCTTCGTGTTCCCCCCCAAACAGCATGTCTATCAGCATCAGCGCGTATCTCGCATCCGCGTCTCGATTGTTCATGGAACAAAAGTAGTTTTAAAAAATTGCGTGGAACCGAAAATTAACGTTGAAATGCTTTTATGGGCTTAGCATTTTGCTGTATTCGTTTGCCTTAGCAGCGATAATAAAAACATTAATAAAGCGCGTTGAATTTGTTGACTTAAAGTTGCAAAATCTGGCAGCACTGTCGCGATATAATCGAGTAGATATGCCCAAGTATCGATGCTCTGCACACCATTTCGAGTCGACAATTTCGACGCCGCCGACGCCATTCATTTTTGGTTTTGTAAAGAAAGGAACGATTCCAATTGTTTATTAGCGCACAAATTGTGTAAAAAGCACGCAAAAAATAACAACTCAAAGCATTGTAGACACCCAGCCACTTTTGAATTGAATAATACTCGCGAACTGCTATAAAATAGCTTCATTGCCGGCAACTACATTGTGAATTCCGGCAAAAAAAAAAAATTGCATCAGTATTAGTGCCTGGATACAAATTGCAAATTCCCAGGGCACACACACTGCAAGATATTTGCGAGTAGTTCTCAGGTGAAAGTGCGCTGCTTGAACACGCAACACAGCCGATTTGGTAAGCGACATTCCGAATACTTTTTAAGCGCAACGCAATTTGCTGACTAACCGGTCTGTCCTTGAACCCGACAGACTTGGCTGCTGTCCCATTTGAGTGAGAGACCCAAACACACGCGCCGCTAGCAAAAGCCACTGCCAGGGTGCCGCCGACGCCGCCGCCGCAATCAATTAAACTTCAACTACTTAAATCAAACGCCCCGCAATCACCCCCGCGTCACTGCCGCCCACTAACACCTCATAACATAACGGGAATAAACGAAATCTTAATATGGCCGAGGCAAAAACACCCGAAAAGATGCTGTCTGCCAAGCCGCCGGTCTATCATCAAAATAGCCATAGTCCAAACGCCACGCTGCAACTGCCGAGCCCCATCATCACGCGGCGTACACGCACGGCCTCCACGTAAGTGAGCCCCCTCTCTGCCCTCGCACCCAACCCCTCCCACCTTAACACATTCCAACTCTCTCTCATCTGGCATTGATTTAATTGTCTGCTCCTCCTTCTCCTTTCTGCTTGCACAATCACGCGCGCGCACTCAACAGTTCGGCGCGTGCCATGGAAAACCCGGTTGTAAGCGGCGTTGTGAAATCTTTTAGCCGCACCAAAGGACACGGCTTTATTACGCCCCATGGCGGCGGCGAGGACGTTTTTTGCCATGTTTCCGAGTAAGTTTTTGTTTTTTTTTTTTGTTTTACCTTCACGCTTGCAACAAAAATAAACACTATTTAAATCCAAAACAGCATCGAGGGCGAATATGTGCCCATGCCCGGCGACGAGGTCAAGTATCGGCTGTGCGCCATTCCGCCCAAGTTCGAGAAACATCAGGCCGTGCACGTGCAGATAAGCAACTTGACGCCCGAGGTGCACCACAAGTGGGAGGAGTCCGTCTTCTGCGGCTCGCCCGCCAAATAGAAACCATTTGCAAAGGCCTTCCAAAATTTAATTAACTGGAGCACGTCATATCCGGGCGCAAACAAAGCAAATGAAAAAACAATAAATATGATCAACAACAGCAGCAAAAACAGTTGGGAGACGACGCTCGAAACAGAAAAGAAGCACAACAAAATAAAATATAATAAGAGTAAACGAGAGCAAGCACACAAAGCGACTTTATCAATCGTATGCCACACAGCCAGCCAGCCAGTTTCAATTAAAAATCTTTATTATTATTAAGCTAAGCTGAAATATATTAACCCATGTCACAATTGTGTTAGACTTTTTTGAAAAGCGATGCGAAACCAGTTTGAAGAATTTATGAATTTGTCTTGAAATGGAATATGTATGTATGTGTTATTTAGGAACGGCAGTTTCGTCATTTTGATTTGGAGCCTGTAACAGTATATGAATATACTTAATTTTTGAATTATATGAAATAATTAATATGTAAAAGCAAAGCCCGAGTCACAATAAAAATAAACTGAAATCAAAATATACGTCTTTTTCTTGCGGGTTAACAATGCTGGGGTTAATTGGCTTATCAACGCAGCGTAGAAAATTAAAGATGCTGGGTCGTGACATACAAATAGACATTTGTTTGTTTCTTTCGCATGTGTGTAAATATTTGTTAATTTATCCAATAACCCGTTGCGAAAGAAGCTTTGAATGAGGTATCGATACATCGATAGCTATCATAGCTTTCGATAAGTTCGATGTGGCTGCAGAGAATCGTCGATGTGCGTCAAATTAGCGGCGGTGAGTTAGCGTCGAATTTTGGTACTTGGTATCGGAAAAGGAATCGGTCACTTTAAAATGCATTTATTTATGTTTTTAAGCACAAAACCAAATAAATTTAAATGCAGAATTGCAATAAATTAAATTATTTACTATCTATATTCATTTATTTTTGAATTTTAATTTATAATATGGGTAAACCAAGGGGTTAAAATATTAGGTTTTCACCATTCCATAAACATTTAAATTTAGGGACGATGGCCCCGAAAACCGCATATACACGATTAAAGCCTATAGTTTCTCCTACCCAACTGTGAAAATTTGATTAAAATCGTCGGTACCATTTTTAAGATATTTGGAAAAGAGTGCAACAACCCCCAAGTCAGCCCCATATAAAATGACCGCAAAAAATCAACCTTGTTTTCGAGCCCTTATTTCTTAGCTCAGAGACAATGGCCCTCAATGCACGGTATACCCTCTTGTAGATAGATATTTTAAGAAGCTTTAGGCACTAATTTTAAGTAAATGGACGGTACAGATTTTGAGAAAATTAATTAATTGTAAGCCAACCTCATATAGTTCATTCAAAAAGTCTATCGAACTGCTAGTTCCTACGTGAACTGAATCACTGCCTGGCATCAGTGTTGAACAATTTTGTACAGAACTGAGCGGGAACCAACTCAATTTGAATTATATGTAATCATGAAAAAATGGGAAGGACTCAAAGTAAATTAAATTAAAAAGTCAAAAAAAATTATATGAGAAGTATTAAGTCATACTTAATAGCGCAGTTTATGAAAAAAATGCAGTTTTCCAATTTTTTCTTTACATCCTATGTTAATGCAAAAAAACAACCTGGCAATATTATATATCAAACTGTTAAATGGCAGCCATATTTTAAACTTTATTATTTAATTTCTGCGAACGCGGCCCCAAATGCACGGTAGTTGTGCATATAGAGCACGATTTATCAATCATTTTGCTATTTATTTCATTAAAATCATCGGTACAGATTTTGAGAAATTCTCATTTTTCTATTTCTCTCATAACATCCTATGTTAATGCAAAAAAACAACCTGGCAATATTATATATCATACTGTTAAATGGCAGCCATATTTTAAACTTTATTATTTAATTTCTGCGAACGCGGCCCCAAATGCACGGTAGTTGTGCATATAGAGCACGATTTATCAATCATTTTGCTATTTATTTCATTAAAATCATCGGTACAGATTTTGAGAAATTCTCATTTTTCTATTTCTCTCATAACATCCTATGTTAATGCAAAAAAACAACCTGGCAATATTATATATCAAACTGTTAAATGGCAGCCATATTTTAAGCTTTATTATTTAATTTCTGCGAACGCGGCCCCAAATGCACGGTAGTTGTGCATATAGAGCACGATTTATCAATCATTTTGCTATTTATTTCATTAAAATCATCGGTACAGATTTTGAGAAATTCTCATTTTTCTATTTCTCTCATAACATCCTATGTTAATGCAAAAAAACAACCTGGCAATATTATATATCATACTGTTAAATGGCAGCCATATTTTAAACTTTATTATTTAATTTCTGCGAACGCGGCCCCAAATGCACGGTAGTTGTGCATATAGAGCACGATTTATCAATCATTTTGCTATTTATTTCATTAAAATCATCGGTACAGATTTTGAGAAATTCTCATTTTTCTATTTCTCTCATAACATCCTATGTTAATGCAAAAAAACAACCTGGCAATATTATATATCAAACTGTTAAATGGCAGCCATATTTTAAGCTTTATTATTTAATTTCTGCGAACGCGGCCCCAAATGCACGGTAGTTGTGCATATAGAGCACGATTTATCAATCATTTTGCTATTTATTTCATTAAAATCATCGGTACAGATTTTGAGAAATTCTCATTTTTCTATTTCTCTCATAACATCCTATGTTAATGCAAAAAAACAACCTGGCAATATTATATATCATACTGTTAAATGGCAGCCATATTTTAAACTTTATTATTTAATTTCTGCGAACGCGGCCCCAAATGCACGGTAGTTGTGCATATAGAGCACGATTTATCAATCATTTTGCTATTTATTTCATTAAAATCATCGGTACAGATTTTGAGAAATTCTCATTTTTCTATTTCTCTCATAACATCCTATGTTAATGCAAAAAAACAACCTGGCAATATTATATATCATACTGTTAAATGGCAGCCATATTTTAAACTTTATTATTTAATTTCTGCGAACGCGGCCCCAAATGCACGGTAGTTGTGCATATAGAGCACGATTTATCAATCATTTTGCTATTTATTTCATTAAAATCATCGGTACAGATTTTGAGAAATTCTCATTTTTCTATTTCTCTCATAACATCCTATGTTAATGCAAAAAAACAACCTGGCAATATTATATATCAAACTGTTAAATGGCAGCCATATTTTAAGCTTTATTATTTAATTTCTGCGAACGCGGCCCCAAATGCACGGTAGTTGTGCATATAGAGCACGATTTATCAATCATTTTGCTATTTATTTCATTAAAATCATCGGTACAGATTTTGAGAAATTCTCATTTTTCTATTTCTCTCATAACATCCTATGTTAATGCAAAAAAACAACCTGGCAATATTATATATCATACTGTTAAATGGCAGCCATATTTTAAACTTTATTATTTAATTTCTGCGAACGCGGCCCCAAATGCACGGTAGTTGTGCATATAGAGCACGATTTATCAATCATTTTGCTATTTATTTCATTAAAATCATCGGTACAGATTTTGAGAAATTCTCATTTTTCTATTTCTCTCATAACATCCTATGTTAATGCAAAAAAACAACCTGGCAATATTATATATCAAACTGTTAAATGGCAGCCATATTTTAAGCTTTATTATTTAATTTCTGCGAACGCGGCCCCAAATGCAC